GAGATTAGATATTGAGCAAGACATTCGACCTTGTGCCGAAGGCTGGTGTAGCTGTCTAGACGAGTAGAATTTAGCATTGAGGATTTCTCTGGCTATTGTACGCCACAGAGGAAAAGAAACCAGGGACAAAATGGCGATGCACAATGATTATGATAGTTCACTCTTCTATCTGTTCGTTTCTTCCCTCATCCGTAGGCCCATTTTTCTACTACTTTTCCCCTCGTGCTTTCACAGAATCATTTCCACTTTGACGAATGAAGCGAACTTCTCGGCCTGGGCCTCGCCGTCCTCTTCGCTGACCATCTTTGTTCCCCGGCGATAAAGCGAATCCAGAAACAAGCGCACAAACGAGCCGGGCCCGTCGGAAAAGCTGGCAACATCTTCGGAGGCGAGTTCGAAATGCAGGATCCCAGCGAGAGCGGCGAGGAACTTGTCGTCCGGGTGCACGGCCAGGTAGCTGGCGATGACGGCGCCCAGGGCGCATCCCGACCCGGTGACCTTGCTCAGCCAGGCCGAGCCGTTGTGGATGGCGAGCGTGCGTGTCCCATCGGACATGTAGTCGATTTTGCCCGTCATGAGGACGATACAGCGCTCGCGCCGCGCCAGGCTCTTGACCAGCAGGGCTTTCTGCTCAGGGCTCGAGGTCGAGGGTCCAGAGTCCACGCCTCGCTGCTGCGTCGTGGATGTGCCCGCTACGGCAGCGATCTCGCCCTCATTGCCCTTGATAACGCTGAAGAAGCCCGCTGTGAGGAGGCGCTCGATCGCAGCACGGCGCACGGCTGTCGCACCACCGCCAACCGGGTCGAGCAGGATCGGTGCCCCGACAGCGTTGTACGCCTTTATGCCTGCAACCCATGCCTCCAACTTGTCTGGCGTGATGGTTCCAATGTTGACGACAAGCGCGCCGCCGAGTTTAGCTAGATCTGCGGCTTCGCCCTCGTGCTCCGACATGATTGGCGAGGCGCCCGTGCAGAGACAGATGTTGGCGACGAAATTCTGCACCACCGTGTTGGTCATGTTGTGGCAGATGACACCAGACGAGAAATGTGCCCTGATAATTTTAGGAACTTGGCCGATGAGCGTGTTGACATCGGTGGTCACAGGTATGTGTGGAGGAACAGCCGCGTAGAACTTTTCAGGCGCCGATTTGATCAAGTCGAGAAGTGTGCTTGCGGATGTTTTGGGGTCGGTCGACGCCATGATGGCACTGACCACGGCGATCCCGCTCAGGCGGTTTGTGTCAAAGGCGGACTGATGCAGCACGCGCTGAACATTCGTGGCGTTGATACTGCCAATAGCCACACAGGGGACGGACTTTGCGGTACCGGTGTCGCAGGTGGCCAGAATCTCCTGGAGGCCCCGCGTCCCGATAATGTGCTTTGTGTCCGTCTTTGTGGGCGTGGCGAACGTAGTGCCAATTCCCAGGTAATCTGCACCGTCCTTGATGGCCTTGTCAGCCTCTACCGGCGACGAGGCTGTGACCCCTATGATGGCCCCTGGTCCGAGGAGCTGTCTGGCGCGAGCAACGGCCATGTCATCCTGACCTATGTGGACGCCTTCGGCGCCGACGGCCATGCACACGTCGACACGGTCGTTGATCAAGAGGGGAACTCCGTGTTTCTGCGTGATGACGTGGAGTTTGGAGGCCACATCGACCATGACGCCGGTATCGGCATGTTTCTCACGATACTGCACCACGCCCACGCCACCCTGGCATGCTTCATCGACGATGTGCAGAATATCCTTGTCTCCCAGGATGGCGGGTGTCGAATCTGTGACGAGGTACAGAGACCAGTCTATGTAGAGGAGGTTTGCACGCGTAGTTTCAGACATTTCGCCGGTGATGCTGCCTCACGTTTTGTGTGAGATTAGGAGGGATGGATGGATATCCGAAGGCTCCAACCATTTCCCAGCGATGAGTGGGTCTTTTTTTTGTCGTGGAGCACTTTGGAGAGTTGATTTCGAATCCGCGTATAGAGGATGTCGTTACAGTAGGTTACCAAAAGTCACTGGACACTAGCCCCTTAGTACGCCTCCTGAATACTACGCCCCCATACACTTGGTAGCTTTTTTCCATATATTTATTATGGTAGAATAGTATAAGATATAATTAGATATAGTGTAATGGGCTGAGTAGGTCGAAAGAAGGATAGTACAGTCACGTGACTGTACAGAGAACATGACATGGGCTTTCTATTACGTATTGCTGCGAGAGAGAACTCTAAAAAAGAAGGGGCGAAGATCATTCTAAAAGGCGTCGACAATATTTAAGTCTTTACTGTACTGTGTTCTTCTTACTACTATCGCTACTACTACCTGATCTCTTCCCTCGCCTATAATACCCTACGGCATAACCTGGACGTTAACTCTGAGGGCTAAACGTGCTGGCGGCTGAATCCTGATCAAGGAATCTCTCACGACTACCGACCTACTAGACAGGCCTCTGTACGTTATTGCACGTGCACGCCGAACCTCAACCGATCCTCGTACAATAGTTATATATAGCTAGGTATAGATAGTTATATCCGCTTATACTAGTCTAGTATAGATGCCTTTAAGACTACGAGACGCTAGAGTCGGCTAGATATAATTATATATAGCCAGATATACCTAATTATATTAACTAGCTAGTTATAGGAACTATAGGGAACTAAAGACTAAATAAATCGTCGGAGGAGAGTCTTACTCCGGTAATATTTGTAACTGTTCGGAGGACTAGTGTTATGAACAGGCCTTTTGGCAAGCTACGCGTGAGCAACAGCGAGGAAAGTCAACAAAGGAGCTAGGCTAAGAACGGGTGCCCTACTCTGGTTCACTCTGTCACGTGTGGCGAGAGCATAACAGAGCACTACGGCGTAATCTAGGATGCTCTGTCTACGGAATATAGAGTACAGTAGAGTACTACAGTGTGATCTAAGATACTCTGTCTAAGAGGGACGGAGTATAATAGATTAATACGAGTCTCCCTACTTATATATTCTAAGTACTTTCCATAGTCTTCCCTCGTAGTTAACTTCGTTCATAAATAATCGAGTTCCTCTTAGTTATTCGCTTTACGTATAGTTCCGTACACTATTCTCTTAGTTTCGTCTTAGCTTCTTCGTCCTACTACTATATCACTAAGTAAACTATTTAAGTTTATATCACGAACACCTACGTGACACTGGACACTCGGCTTAGGCCACTAACTAAGGAGTTAGGCCGCTAGCTAAGTAGCTAGCTTACCGTATATATGTAGTAAGAGGAGTTATACCTATTAACCTTAAAGCTTTCTTTAAACGTTAATATCTCTATCTATAGACTAGTTATCTATCATTATTAATCCTATAGTATATATATTTACCCTCTAGTTAGGTAACGGGTCTGATACTCAAGCACCTACAGAGCGAATCAGAAGAGATTATAGAACATCGTTCCCGGTGACGCGGCTCTCTAGACTCTACTCAAGGATTAAGCTACCTTTTCAAAGAGCACTTGAATCTGGCATGTTGAAAATACGTCTTTTAGTTCGGTGATCCATCGCCAAAATGTTCTGTCCACACCAAAAATGTCTTCCTTTGGCTCTAAACTGACAAAGTCAAAGTCAATGATCATGCAAACGCAAAACCCGAAATTCTGATACATCTGCCTCACGTTGTATCGCGGTTGCACGCGTCTTGAAGATGGAGACATACTAGCTACTTGACACTTCTGTCATGGCCTTATTGTCTGAGACTTCCACCTGGGCACCCAATGCTTCACGATCCACCCTTCCCTCCGTTCCAAGAGCGACCTTTTCGATCATGCACGGGACAACGCTCTGTTTGTCGGGCCAGATCAAAGATAGAATGAGGTAGGAGAATAGCCCAACGAGGAATGTAAAATACCAGTTGAAGTTCGCGATATACGCCGCTCCGCCAACATCAACAGAGGAGTGCTTGAATCTTGACTGCTTGATGGAGTCATGGTGATGAGTTGGACTTGCCCAGCTCTATAGCGCAATAACTGAACAGTGTTCTCAGCTCTGGGGTCCTGCATCGAGACCCTCTTCTTGCCGATTGATGATCCTTCGAACCCTCGTCACGAGGCTGTAACTGCGACCCGGCGTCCTTGGCGATCGCAAGTAGAGGCCATATGCAGCAAACGGCAGCGGAAATAGGGATTGCTTGTTTGCTTCTTGACTTCGGACTGAAGCTTTTTTGGGTGTTGAAGTTGTCTGCCTGAATTCCGACTCAGCGTGTGGATGGGCGGACTCGCTATGTCTCCCCTGAAATCCTCTAAGAGCTCACGCAAAGCTTCAAATATATTTGTTAAGCTTTCCAGTACTCAGCCACATTCATTGCTCATCTCGTTCACCTGTCGATCTTGATCTCGGTCGATTGTGGAGAAGCATGATCATCCGAGTAGGTTAGCTTCTAGGCGGCAAACCGAGATTAAAAGACCCTACGCCATGCTCTACCACACTGACATACAGCGTGAGCTCCCAATATTACGTATCGCCTGGCAAAGGCCTCTGTCTGTCTGCCAGGCAACAGGCAAAATCAGCCGGGGTCAGCAGACATGACCATAGCTCTCGTATCACCTTGGACGGATGAGTCGACCCATTAATGTAGGCGGTGGCCGGAATGCCGTCACATCGCACTATCGCACGCCTTTTTCTTTCGTGATTTCTGGCAGTGACGAAATTGATGATCTGATATCCATCGATTTAGACTGCCGATGTCCTCCTGAATCTTCTCCACCGTCACGGTTTCAAGCGCTAAGCGCGCTTCATGCGTTTGAATAGTTGCTCCCACGTGTCTGACGGTCTCTTGCTTCATCGATGTAAACGCGATATGCGATCGTCTCCTGGAGTATATGTGCTGTTGTCGAGGCCGCCCTGCTCACAGCAATTGAAGAGTCACCGTCAGCACGTGTACTCGAGAGGTATTCATACCATTGATACCTGGGAACTCAGAAACCTAGCCACATTACTCCACATCAACGGAGAGCCTACTCCAAGGGAAACAACTATCTGCAGAATGTCTTCATCATCTGGAAAGGCTCAATACTTCCAGACCCCAGGTCCCTGGGGCACGGAAGCCCAAACAGCTGGCTACTCCCAGTCAGTCAGCTTCCCAGCCAATGGGCGTATCGCGGTCACAGCAGGACAGCCTGGCATTGACCTCAAGACCGGAAAGCTGGTCACTTCTTCGCTGGAGGACCAAATTGAGGCGGCCTTCGACACCGTTGACAGTGCATTGGTGGCTGCGGGTGCTTCGGGTGGACTGGCGACCGCTCACAAAATGACCATCTTCTACCTCGATATCAGAAATGAGCCGATTCTCATGAACATCTTCCGGAGGAGGTATCCCAACACCAGACCGGCCCTGCTTGCGATCGGAACGCCGACTTTAGCGATATCCGGCATGCATGTGGAAATCCAGGCGGAGGCTGTTGTCGGTTGAGTTTGAATGTGCGTATTCACGAACACAGAGAGAACAAAAAGGACGGAGAGAGACGATGGGACTGAAACCGGCGGGAAAAGTAGACCTTTTGGTGGTCAAAGAATGATTATTTTAGAAAAGCAATGGAAAGTGTCGTGGGAATATGGGAGATACATGGCCCTATAGCTAAAATCCATGTCCTCTCCTCCTCAAGCATCTACGTGGATTGGGCAAACAAATAACTGACCAAAGCTAGACTTGATCGGCCTCTAACCCAGTCTTAGTACCCGATGACTCGATCATATTGTATGATTCTGGATTTTACCTTATTGTTCGGTTTCAACCATAAAGCAAGGATCATGTTCTTAATCTTGCTAGGCCGCTGATCGGTCTTTAACTCCTCAATCAAAATTAATGACATATCGCAGAACCATTCTACATGTAGCAGTAGGCATGGCTAGAGCCTCTGCTCACGCTTTGGGCCTTCAGCGCAACATGCTCCCCCAGTAGCATCGCGATGTACAAATGTTGACTGATTCACATTTTGCTGCGAGGGAGGCACATCGACCGAGGGGTTTCGGTCAAAGAAGTTGACCGGCTTGAGTGAGACTTTGAGAATCTCGACGGGCCTGTCCAATCGGTCAGCAGGGAATTCCAGCAAAGTAGGATATGTTGATGGCCATGAAGGAGGCAGGAATTCTGCAATTGCAATGGCAGACTTACATGACTGGGAAGTCCTCAATCCTTGGGACGTGGTTCAAGCCAAACTGCACCCATACCACGATGTCCTCATCCACGACACTGTCGCCGCGTGCTACCCAGCTTTTGATTCCTTCTCCACCACGACCTATAAAGGTTAGAAGACATACTACTGGCTAGTCGACCGATAACGTCGGGGATAGATGAATTCTGTCTGGAAGAAATCGCCCTTTCCGGAAGTACGATTGAGAGCGAGCCACTTACTTTGATTCGTGTATTTTCCGCCCGAGAACAGCTCATCTTGCCTGTACTTGGTGACATAGATATTGTGGTCGGCGAACTCGGCACGTTTGAAATGGTAACTATCTGGATGGGCCAGGATCTTTTGCATGGGTGGAGCAACAATCTTATATGCGATGGGCATCTTGTTGACCGTGTTGGTGATCTGGGCATTCTGGATCATGAAGACGCGACTTTTGGACGAGTCTAGGTCGATTCCGCCTGCCTTTTCAACCAATGACATCTTGGAGATGTAGCCGTTGCCGTGTGGGTTGAAGTCGTCCATGGGCATAGCATAGCATTCTGAGTATGCTAGGCGATTGCCATCCGTGTAGCTTCCGATGGCGGGGTCTATTCGGAGGGAGAGCAAGTGTTGATGATGTTGGGCCAGAACTCCTTCGTGGACGATGGTTCCCCATGGCACTGAACAGCCTGGGTCGATTGCAGCAGTAGACAGAATGCCTGTTGCGCGGACCTCGTAATGGAGTTCGCCTGCCTGGTTGAAAATGAAGGCAAGTATATATCTACTCTCGGTGTAGAACGGTAAGCAAGGTGATAAGGTCTCGGGTCTCAGTCAGAGATCGACAAACTTACTCGTAATTAGAAACGGTCAGGATCTGCTGAATAACAAGTTCGCGGTTTCGTACGACGCACGCGCCTGGGAAGTTGAAAAGCTACATCAGCTCCGTCCCAGAAGATATGCACATAGTTGCAGAAAGGGCTCTTAGACTCACGGTCAGTGCGGTAGTTAGAGTGTTTCCACCCTATGCCATTGTCTTGCTCGTGGATGCACACAGCATTTTCTTTGACCACAGGCTCGCCTTCCGGGGAGACTAGCAGGCCATCGAGATATGTGATGGAGCCGAGACAGTCACAGCCGAGCTTGAGATTGTTCGAGACAAGTCCTGCACCAACGTCGCCTAGGTCAAATGCCTGCTTTCGATGATATGGAGACCGTGGATCAGCATACGGGACGGTCATCTCGCTGAGACTGATTCGGTAGAAGATAGGTCGCCCGTCGTAGCGTACGTCCCGAAGTACGACACCCTCTCGGTAATTGAAACCGATCCTGGCGTGCCATTTCTGCCATGTGATGACATTGTCGGGAGTGATTGAGTAAGACGGTCCGGCAGGTTGGACTATTTGGAGAGGCTTCAACCCTTTTCGGAGGGTAGTCTCTTCGGGCACATACTCCTTAGGCGGGATATATTGCCATGGACCAGTCTCCCCGGTCTTCCAGTCTTCGCCAGTTGGGATCTGATCGATTCTGGTGACTTTCATTTCAACGGGGTCGACAACGGGAGAAAATGACAGCGGACGAGCATAGTGGTTGCTGTCAGGATTCGATTTCTCGCCCACAAACATGTAGACCTGGTATTGTCGTCTTGCATCGTCCAGGCCGTCGGTTCCAAAACCCCAGGCCTCAGGAACCACCATGAGGTGAGAAGGGAGCTGCAGTTTCTGGATATGCTCGACGACCGCTGGATCCTTCATCACCATTTCCTCGACAACCACGACTTCCTTGAAGTCCACGTTGCCATGATATTCGGGGCTCATGCGCTCAGTCCTTTCAACAAGGCCTGAACTGAGGTTGACGTACGTCGTGATAAAGCTATCCTGGTACTGCGTTAGTTGCTTTTTGGAAGGAAAGGCATGTACGCATACAGTGCCCTTGAAGTAATAAGCTGCAAATGCCGTCCGTGGAATAGACGGCAGAGGCTTTGCATTCTGCTCAGCATTCAAATATGCAATCGTTTGTTCTTTGATAGGTTCCTCAAGTGTGACGGCTTTGAATACAAGATCTGTGTGACCGTGTAACTTTCTGATGATTGCGATGGCTTGTTGCGTTTCAGCAAAGCTGAGCTCTGACAGTGGGTGGACGGGTGCCATGGGTTCTACTCGCCAGCAGCACTGCAACTTTGTGTCAAGGATCGGGTTCTCGGGCTTGGAGAAGGTGATGGCCGATGTTGGCACCCTTGTATCTTAAAAGATGCTGGGCTGGATTGAACTTCTGCTATTGATAAGAGACACGTTGCTTTCTATAATGGAATGCGCTAATCGTGCTTGCCTAGGAAGCCATATCGGAAAGATCCAGGCTGGGAGAGCGCACCGTCGAATGGCTGAGGTCCATGTCGCGATCGTCGTGATGTACCAGGCCTTTATGGGGGTCTGTGCGGCGCAGAAGATGTATTGCTTACGCACGAACCGCGCTGACCCTTATCAATCGACCAATTGGTTTATCAGACGGACACTATCTGGGGCTCCGGCGATCTGCAACTTCAACTTCGAGGCGGTGCGCGTTGTGCGCGCGGCGGGACTGAGATGCGATATGCTATCGGAAACAATCCCTAAAGAGTGATAGAGAAGCGGTTAGCTAGCTCGACGAGGATAGGCTTGCTCAGCTCCAGCGACTGCAGATGGCCTTCACTCACCATAAGCCAATGGCGATGCTTCTTTCAGTTCATCTGGGATCCTTGTCTAACATCATCCACGAAGATCTATGGAAATCCAAGATGAGGAATACAGTATATAAGGGGCATCGTCTGTGACCCGTCGTCTGCGACCGGTCGTATGTCTTGATCCATCATCAGCATATCATTGAGTTCTAACTGTAATACTCCCACGATTCTGCACAGATTTGGACTATACCACCGGCACCATGTCTGAAATTCCGCTCATCACCTTGAACAATGGACTGAAAATGCCATCGGTCGGGTTCGGCTTGTGGAAAGTCGACAAGAACACCTGTGCCGACCAGGTCTACGAGGCTATCAAGGCTGGCTATCGCTTGCTGGATGGTGCATGCAGTAAGTCCTGCCTGACATGATGTTAGATATACCACAACTAATTTCTTTGAATGAAGTCTACGAAAACGAGCAGGAGTGCGGCGAGGGAGTTGCCCGAGCCATCAAGGAAGGCATTGTCAAGCGTGAAGATCTGTTCATTGTGTCCAAGCTGTGGAACAACTTCCACGAGGCACATGTGGTCGAGCCCATTTGCAGACGCCAACTACAGGACTGGAAGATCGATTACTTCGACCTTTTCCACATGCACTTCCCGGTGTCTTTGAAATATGTCGACCCCAAGGAACAGTACCCTCCTCCAGATGGACCTGAATTCCCCCAGGGACCTGCCTCTGTGCACGAAACGTGGCAGGCGATGGAGAAGCTGGTTGAGAAGGGACTCGTCAAGAGCATTGGTGTCTGCAACTTCAACGGCGGTCTTCTCTACGACCTTCTGAAGTATGCTAAGGTGAAGCCAGTCGCCCTGCAGATCGAACACCACCCATACCTTACACAGCCAAGACTGGTGAAATTCGCGCAGGGCCAAGGTCTCGCAGTTACAGCATACTCATCATTCGGTCCTCTCTCGTTCGTCGAGATGGATTTGGAAGAGGCTTTGAAGGTTAAGCCTTTGTTCGAGACGAGCCCGGTCCAATCTGCTGCGAAGCGAGTTGGAAAGTCCCCTGCACAGGTCCTTCTCCGCTGGGCTACACAACGCGGTATTGCTGTTATTCCCAAGAGTAACAAGCCCACTCGTCTGGCGGAAAACCTCGACGTCAGCTCCTTTGACCTGACAAAGGATGAGATCGAGGCTATCAGTGGACTCAACATGCGTCTGCGTTTCAACGATCCTGTCAAGGTAAGATTACGTTTCCCCCTCAATTTGCAGACTTTTACTTAGCGATTTCTTAGTTTGGCGAGCCTCACCCGATATTCGATGACTTTGGCGACTACTAGTTGAGTCCAATCCAAATATCGCGGGCTTGACTCAGGCTTTCAAAGGAGGAGTATGGTTATATGGACCTGGTGCTAGAATGGTCTAGATAGACTCAACGAATAAAAAGTTTGCACTGGCTTCTGGGGCGTTTCTTGTTGATCATCATTGTATTTGTTTGAAACAGGTATCTGTTTCAAAGTGCCTTTTCTTGGTGGATAAGATATCTCAAGGATTTCGAGTTCTCGTACCTTTGGAGGATGGGAATCATCATATGGTGTACAGCACGCCTTGTTCTCATTCAATACGAAACATGTCCACTACTTCTTGGACATTGTGTGAATCCGCCTAACATATTGTACCAGAAGAACCGGTATCATGAATAGTAAGACCCAACCTAGGTATAGGTAGCCGTCTCCAAAGATATTACAATAGTCCTCAATGTGTAATCTGTATTGATCATTCAGTGAAGTATCTCATCTAACAGGCGTATATCTAATCCTGCACATCCAATACCGTAGGGTCAGGGTTCTCTCGTCCCAAGACCTTGCGACAGTAATCCTCAAATACGTCGGACCAAAGGTGACGGACTTTGTAAGCTGCAGTGTTATCCGGATAGTTGCGCACTGCATCCCAAAGTCTGTTAAGCGCCATAGGCTCTTTACCAAGATCTGTCAACGGATTCATATACGTTCGAACGGTGAAGACTACTGCTCCAGTGCGAGGCAGTCTTCGAAGGGACTGCAGCTCTGTACGGATCTCGATGTCCTCCACTGTCTTGGCTGGAGGCTTTTCATCCATCGGTTCCTGATGAAAAATTCCGGGACAGGGTTGGATGAAGACATTGTTCCGCTGAATCGCGCCATCCACCTTGATATTGATGAAGAATCTTGCCCAAGTGTCAGCAAAGTCTCCAAGTCAAATTCATTCCGTGTTATTACCTTTCCATGGACTTTTGCAGTTTTTCTCTCCAGGTAGGTACAGGGCCATGCATTTGATGCAATGGCCATCCGATTCGGTCTTTGAGTCGCCATCCCGAAGGACAAGCCAGAAAGCAGGCTCTCCTGCTGCTTGTTAGCATTGAGGCTTGAATACCAGGCGCTGCCACCGGAAAACTTACAGATAATACCGATCTAGCTCTCCCAGATGCAAAATGTACAGATCATCCATCACGAGCAAGCCGGCTACTTCCATCGGGTGTCGGTCGTACGGTGCCCGAACACGATATCGCTCATTCATAGGGACGATGACAATGTCGTCGCCGTCAAGCTGGAACATGTCTGGATACCGCTTCGTAACGTACTCGACAATAAGCTGCAATAGTTCCTCGCAAGACTCGTCTGTGTTAGGCAGAACTTGCAGCACGTCGTCATGTAGGTCTCCGTTCATATATCTGAGTTTGTCGAGATGCTCCTTCTCGTATGCACGGTCATAGGTAAGCCAGTTGTTTGGGTCGATTTTGCGGAGGCTCATGGTCATCTGGAATTTCCCGGGTTTCCAAGGATGTGGCCAGTCGGGTGCTCGTTGGGTAGGCAAGCCACTGAAGGGCTCGATTGCTTGGAATTCAAGTGGAAGGTCTTTGACGGCAAGCCTCTTCTGTGGCCATGGTTTGGCCTGAACGGACCATGGGACCCATTGACTCTTCTCCTTGCCCGAGAAAAGGTACAGTATCAGAGTCGAAGCAGCACCCAAGATGGTCAGGGCGACCAGAAGATGATGAGGTAGCAGAGACATCTCGATGCTTGGAAAGAGTATAAAAGGCTGTCAGTTGTGCTTTGTGAGGTGTTCGCGGAGAGACAAGGAGACAAAGCCGGGTTTTGATCACAGACATCACCGTCAGAATGAGTTGGCTGGCTCGTCACTCCTGGAGACGGGAAAGAACCATTCCTGGCATGAAATAGCCATAATAGCACATATGTGATTCTGCTTGGCCCTTGAGCTGCCGCTGCCTCAGCGATAGCAGAGATCAATCACTAGAGCCAGATGCTGATCCTTGCAAGGCTCCCTGGAGAAGCGCCTCCACTGAGAGGCGACCAGGGGCGGCACGACACCGCGCAGAGCGCGCTCTCTCGCCTGTGGATGCATGACCCTTGGACATTCGTTTGTATGACCGGGATCTTATCACGTCGTTCTGCATACGATATGAGACTCTTGGCAGCGAACTGCATTTGACGGTAGGCGTGGGTAGTTAAGATCGCTATAGCTTGTTTCAACGTGGATTGCTGGATTCGGATAGGAAAGCATACAGTGATTGGTGATGAAACCTCGGGCAGGCCACATCTGTTGCTTCTGAGAACTGTCCTCCTTCTGTACTGGCTGTGAGCCCTGCATTTTTTAAATCTAGCTGCGTACAGGCCGCAGCAAGACTATCATGCAATAGACTGAGGAGGTGCTGACTGCTGGTGATTCAATCATCTTGGAGCTGTCAAAATAGTCAACTGCTCTTCTACGGGGTGAGCACCACAACCTGGACTTGCCCCGCGATGATGGGGAACATATACTGCCCAATGACATCGGCCGTAACGACTTGCGGGCCACCAACAAGCTGACCTGGCCCACGGACGTCTCCGCCTTCGATAAGACCTCAGGCAATCTCACGAATTCCGTGGACATCTGCAAGCTTCGCATCAAATGCAACTCAACGCACACGTCTATGACCATCTCTCGATAACGGCCATCATCGACTCCTGCGCGCGGTAACTGCGTTCTGGGGATCTGCATACACCTGAATTGGCTGGGGTCGAGTTGGCTGGCAGATATGTCGCCGGCTCTCCAGCCCAACGGCCGCATGGCGACCAAAAAGATTACACGCACCAAGACAGGATGTTTGACTTGTCGGCGAAGACGCAAAAAGTGCGACGAAGGAAAGCCAGAATGCCAGAACTGCCTGCGGAATAGCTTCGTCTGCGAAGGCTACCAGCAGCGCAAGACGTGGCAACCGTGCGACAACATGTCCAACGATGCTCCAGCAGCCATAGTCAACCCTATACCTGCTGCGAATGATGCCACCACGCAGTCTGTGGACGAGTGGAATGACTTTACGCTTCCAGATCCTGGGGATTACAGGGAGGATTTGCTCTTTGCCAGCCCAAATCTCGATCTAACTACTGATCTTGTACCGAACTTCAACTCGCCATCACTGACTGATGTCTGGCCCAACCACTGTGCAGCCCTTGTCGCGGAAGGCCAGCAGGAGTCCGATACAAGTCCAAATAGTGACGACCATCAGAGTGAAGAAGACCTCGTCATCGAATCCATCAGAGGCACTACTTCCAGTGCGAACGCAGAGTCGAGTGTCAGCAGCCGTGCCGTGCCAACAAAGCAAGTACGTCGGCCAGAAAGTTTCATCTTACAATCGCTGCCATTCCTTGTGAATGGCATTCAAACGCAAGCTGAACGAAAGATCTTTCACCATTACTATAAAGTCGTGTCCAGTGTTCTGTTGCTGGAAACGCCCAGCAACCCGTTGGTCTCGACATTGATACCTCTGGCATTGTCGCAGGATGAGAACAATGGCCTTTTGGATGCCATCATATGCCTATCTGCAAGCCAGTATCAGTATGCGCTGTCGGCATCCGGCGGTCAAAGGAACAACGCAGAAAATTCAGGCATAGAGAAGTTGAAATGGAAACGACATAGCAGAGCTGTGAAACAACACATTCAAATGCTGAGCCAACTATCGAAGCCGTCGCTGGCATCCGACTCCCTCCAGTCTAATTCACAACAACTATTGATCTTAACCATGATTCTATATCAGTTCAGCCTCTGCGAGGGAAGCTGGTCAGCAGGAAGACGCATGCATTTCAATGCAGCTCGTGAGCTGATCAGGCAAATCTATTCAGACGGCCGCTATCACCCACCCAACCATGACAGCTTCAATTCTTTCGTCCTCAATTGGTTTTACTTCCACGATATCTGTTCTTCCCTGACATCTCGGCAGGATGGCGCTTGCATAGACCTGCATCGCCGCTGTCTGCATGGCGCCGGTGCAACTTCGCCAGCAACTGCCCTCGCGATGAGATATCAGACTGTGGGGCTATCTCAGCCAGACAGTATGTTCCTGATTGGACCTAGCGATGGACTGCTGACCATCTTGGCCCGAATAATTAATCTGCATCGCGAGCATGCTCCTGCTGAGTACGGAGAAGATCAAGACCTCGATATTGATGTGCTCATGGAGGGATTGGCCATTGAAGCTGACCTTCGAGAATGGCACTACGATTATGCTGACACTAAGAGTGCGAATATTGCCGAATGCTATCGACTAGCGGCCTTTATCCTACTCTGGTTTACAATACATCCGCACAGCCCGCTCGACACAGAGAAGGTGCAGCGGGCTGTGCAAGAAGGACTGAAATTACTAGATCCTATCACGGACAATGACAGCGCGCAGACTTGCTCCTTGCTGCCATTATTCGTATTTGGAGTCTCGACGAACTCGAAAGCGGAGCGCTCTTTCATCGAGGCCAAGATAGAACGCTATGGGTCATGGGCATCAATTGCCAACATCGTCGAGGCGGGCAAGTTCTTGATGCAATGGTGGCGAGCTGCTGACAAGATGGAGCCAACGCGGCGACGATGGTGGGACTGGGAGGCCTATCTCAAAGCGAACGAGATCGATATCATCCTCGTCTAGTGGCACTTGTCTAAAGTTGGCCCAAGTCCTGTGCCTGTTATCAGTAATTGCTCCAGTCTTCCGAGACATGTACAATCCTATAGATAATTTGATGACGCCTCTGTGATATTATGCACGTCCCAACGCTCGAGGTCCTGGTCGGTTCACCCTGAATTGCCGTCGGGTCTATTTGATACACCTCGAAAGTACTGTCCAATCGAGACAGGCTTCATGGTACAAGTTAGTCATGGAATCGGGAGTGACGAGCAAAGAACTTCAATAGATTGAATCATGTGTATACCTGGCGCACTATCTCCTCGTAGGATTTCCTCTGAAACCGGTTCCTGCATTAAAGGAACGTCGAAAAAGCACGGGCTGTAGACCTCGCATCCGTGGATGGTTCGACTAATAACGTGCAATCTGGGCAGGTTCTGGGGTATCCCAGGCTGGGAGTGATACAAAGTATGGGTCCCTATCTCGAAGCACACATTGGCTGGCTGCAGGCCAGCCATGAGGAAGACGGGACGACGGCGCGGTGAGCGCGCTATCCGCGGCTCATTTTCGACTGCGAACTAGCTCAACACTCCCGGACGCTCATGACGTTCCTGAGGATGCTGATAAGAGGAGGGTTGATCGGAATTCTGATTGGGTGGAAACACACCCCCTTCAGCCTCGGTCCCTATCGCAACCTTCCCTCCCTCATGAGTTCGCTTGGGATCACTAGAGGGAATGTGTGTATCAGCAGCTCAGGCTGGGAGGGCATAAACATATTAATTCCTGTGTATCAGCAGCTCAGGCTGGGAGGGCATAAACATATAATACCTCAACATGGCTCACATCGCCCCCCTCCACAGCCTGAATAAAACCATCGCACTGGCACAGATCGAGCTGCATATCACAGACACCAAGCTGAATTGTCGCTCCCCACACGAAGACCCTCCCTCCTTTTCCCCATACTCAGCCCCGATGTCGTCTCCCCAGTCTGGTGTGGATGTTGAGATCCACGGATCCAAGCCAGTGGTCGAGCGAGTCACAGCAGACGACCAGCTTGCGCATGAGTTTGGATACAAACCCGTCTTCGTTCGCAAGTATGGTACCTGGTCCAGCTTGTCGTTCGCCTTCAGTGTCGGAGGACTGTTCACTGCTCTGATGACGACCTTCGCATACCCTTTACAAGCTGGAGGACCTGCAGCCATCGTATGGTGCTGGTTCATAGCCGGTGGCTCTTCCCTTGCCTTGTCAGCTTCGGTATCCGAGCTCATCTCTGCGTATCCGACCGCTGCTGGAGTTTACTACACAATATCCCGTCTATCACCTCCAAAGCTGGTCCCTGTTCTTAGCTGGCAAGCTCACCCCGTTTCAATGCATCACAAAAACGCATGCTGACCTCAGTTGTAGGATTGCCGCATGGCTCAATGTCCTTGGCCAGGTATGTATATAACCCCCTGCAACAAACCAAGTGCTAATTCTGTTTAGGTCGCTGCAGTTGCTGCCACGGAGTTCGGTGCTTCCCAAGTGCTCCTGAGTGCGGTGGCTGTCGGCTCTGACTTCACGTTTGAGCCCTCCCAGAGGGCTACCGTGGGAGTGGCTGCAGGTCTCGCTGTGTTGACTGGAGTCATTAACTCTGTTTCCACAACCTGGATGGAAAAGATGCAGAAAACATTTGTGGTCTTCCACGTCACTGCCGTCGTTGTCTGTTTCATTACTCTGTTGGCTGTGGAAAAGAGCAAAAACAGTGCTTCGTTCGTGTTCACCAACGTCCAATCGCAATCTGGATGGAATCCCACGGGCTTTGCTTTCTTGTTTGGATTTTTGAGTGCTGCATTCACAATGACAAACTATGGTAGGCATAAACCTGATGCTTTTTATGACAGTCATGCTGATGAATCTATCCAGACGCTACCGCACATATCTGCGAGGAGTAGGCAGTTTCAGTCGATCCTGCATGCGAAAGGCTAACCCATGATTTCAGAATCCGCGATCCGGCGATAGCCGCACCTCGCGCAACATGGTATGCCAATGTCATGACCTTCGTTCTTGGGCTTGTGTTGAACATTGTTCTCTGCTTCTGCATGGTTCGTTACCCCGAGGAGTCACATTGGGTGTCTGGTCGAATGCTAAATCCATTGACAGAAAGATCCATATACTGTTCTGGCGAACAAAATAGGCCAACCTGTGGTGCAAATCTTCTACGATAGCCTGGGAAAGTCTGGTGCTCTGGCTTTCACTGCTTGTGGTGTCATCATCGTCCAATTCACGGCTATCGTGTGTATGGTGAGCATACTATGACGAAATGAAGTGTGGGACGTTTCTAATCTCAATCTTCGTTTAGCAATCTCTCAGTCGAACAATCTTCGCATTTTCAAGAGATCGCCTGCTTCCCTTTTCAAGTATCTGGGCCAAGGTCAACACTCTCACTGGCATTCCTCTTCACGCTGTTTGGCTGTCTGTACTCTTGCCGATCGTAATCAGCCTCATTGGACTTGGGTCCTATCAAGCTGTTTCAGCTGTGTTCAATGTCGCCACGGCAGTCCTTGACCTGAGTTACGCTGTTCCACTCGGCTGCAAGCTGGCTTTCGGCCGCTTTCATCGAGGACCGTGGCATCTGGGCGCGTTCAGCGTCTTGATCAACGTTTACTCTATTGTTTGGACGTTTTTCATAACAGTTCTATTCTTCATGCCAACTGTCAGGCCAGTGACGGCAGTCAATGTAAGTCTGAACCTCCCATTTTTGGCATTGTGACGCTGACCTGTTTTGCAAAGATGAACTATGCAGTTGCAATTTTCGCCCTTATCATGATATTCGCACTAGCCTATTGGCAGATCGAGGGCAAGAAGTTCTATACCGGTCCTGTGGATGAGACTGTACACGGTATTGAGCCTGTCAATGAATCCATGGTTAGCGCAGATGTTGGTCAAGAGACATACCAAGACAACAAACAAAATCATGGCAGAAAAATGAAACCGAGGTCGTAGGGGAGGTAGAGTACTAGTACGAATGGTTGGAACAATACCGCTGAAGAGATCAAGCAACTTTGAGAGAGACTCGGAGGGATCCGACGGAGAAAGAAGTTTGTAGTTGTGCAATCTATCAGCATCTACATTCGCTATTCCAATGGAGAACATCAGCCTTGAACGGCTCCGTAGTCACTCCTTCTATCTCAATTGTAGGAGGTGAATCATTTCGTTGCAAGAAATGTAAATAAAGTGACACTTAGGCGGCTCGTATTAGGTGCCCATCTGTGCCCAGATGTACCAAGAGAGAGAGTGAAGAAGTCGGAACGCGCGGACCGCCGTCAACGAACATCTGGACCTCTCCGCCAGTGACGCAGCCCTCTATCCACCAACACTGTTTATCAATATGGTGAAAACCCCCGGATCAAAATGATAAACTAGGCGTGGACCGAAATTTGTGAAGGCATGGAGGCGAATGCAGACAACTCGTCAAGCCCCATGGCGAAACGTTCGAAGCTGTTGGAAGGAAAAGACATGTGCATCGAACATTATGAGCGGCTGTATTTCGAATCAGTGGGAGTATACTCCTCAATCATTCCCTATCCAAGCGAATGGGCTCTGGTCATGCTATATTTCGCTGAAATTAACACCCTTCTACCATTGATCGACCAAGAGACATTTCAGCAACAATATCGGCAGAGAAAAGCATCGCCACATCTAATCAAAGCAATATGTTTAGTCACATTGCGACTCAGTTCAGCAGCCTCTTATATTCGAGGTTCCTCAGACGGTTGTGTAATTCACGATGACCACGCAGACAAACGGAATGTCTGCAGAGCACAAGAATCACTCAAAGAGGGCGCTCGAAGCTCGGCAGCAACTCTCGCTCGAAGACTGTACACTGCACTGCGGGCTGCAGTGATTGAAGGCAACCTCGAACCAGATCGGGTTGACCGTATACGCATCCTGGCTTTGATGTCACTCGTCATGCCTCTTACTCACGCTGAGTCTAGCGGGACACACCATCTATCACGGTATCTCCACCAAGCTGTTTGCGAGGCCCAGTCCCTTGGACTACATCTGGGCTCTACGTCTACGAAGGCCAGCGACACATTTTTGCAGAAGAATGTGTCAGTCAGAAAAGCCTCACGAGCTGAATCCCGTCTCTGGTGGAGCTTGTACGTCTTGGATCGACTTGGAACCTTTAATGATTCCAGGAAGCCTCATTACATCCAGGATCGAGATATAGGCATGCAACGTCGAAAATTGATGATAGAATCGGGGTTCCTCCGTCAAGACGATCAACACACTCTCGCACTCTGGATTGACCAGGTGGACATCATCACCCAACTCCGGGAATCGCAGACTACAGGGAAAAGCATACTGGATGAAAACCAGTTGCGAGCATCTAACGGAGGGGATACCGTGGAAATTGGAAAGACATCTTATCGGGATAGCAACATATCCCAAGCTGCAATGCCCAATTCGAGCGTCTTCAACTCCACCTCCTCAATCGCAGTCAGCGGGACGCATATGCGGTAAGAAGAATAAAAAATCTCATTCCCCGAACGAGTCTCAAGACAAGGCACTGACATAAGACAGCTCTTGCGCTACCATAGAAGCTATATGCAGCATCTTCAAAGTCGTCTGTGTCGAATCTTCTGCGATCCAGTCGAGGCCCATGGCGAATGCTACATTAAAACCGGACAAGCTCGAAACGCAGCTGGACACCGTGGACAGACTCATTTCACACGTACATGAGAACCCAGATATAGCAACCTCGCCACTGCCAGTGGTGGAACAGGCAGTGGCTCTCTCCTTCATCGTACTATATAACATTTATGTCTCGACCTTCGCAGCACCGTCCCTCCAAGGACTGGTCCCAATGCCCTCTTTGATTCGAGTTTTGGGTTCGGTCCAACGGATCGGCAGCCGTTACATCGTCGCACGGGTATTGTTCAAGGTCTTATTTTACATGCTTGAGAAATCTCACCGTGGAGCCTCAATGGTGCCACGTTTTCCTAAAGCCGCAGGTGCAGGCATGCTTGGCCCTTCAGCATCGGAGTATTCTATCGCTGAAGCAGGCCTGAATTATGAGGAGGTGACTATGTCCGGTGGAATATTTTCGCCACTTTGAAGAGCTAAAAGTCTAGTATTTATTTAAGACTAGCTTTTCTGATCTAGGTTAGATTACTTTTTTTTTTTTTACTATGCGTCTCGAGCGAATGGCGAAGGCTCCGCCACTGTTTCAGACAGATACTTCTCTTCGCGCTGAAGACTGAGGTATGCAGCACTCCCACGGTCGCCTGGTTTGGGGCCTTCCTCATTGGGCATGATGTCGAAGTTAAACATGTCTACAGGGACACCCAAGGAAACGTTTGCAGTCGGAATGTTGGCCGTGGCTAGGATGCGGCTTTCGATGGGTGCAGTAGCGAGCAGCATGTACGCCTGCTCGTGCGAGAAGCCGAACTTTTCCAGATATCCCATGGCATGAGAGGCGGCCTGAATGTAGGAAGTAGTAAGGTCGCTTCGGTGCTGAACCCCATCCTTGTCGACCGACAGGCCGTGAAACACGACTTGCTTGCGATACAGCGGTTCGGCTGGGCTGGAAATGACAATGGGACTCTTCAAACCTAGCTTCTGGATGCCGTCATGTACAATCGAGCATCGAAGGGTCGCTATGCCGGCCATTTCAATGGCGCAGGTAGGCTCGCCGTCGCCCAGGGAGAAATGGAGATCTCCAACGGACAAGTTTGCTCCTTCGACATGGACCGGTAGGTAGATGCGACATCCACGAGTCAAGCTCGCCGCATCTGTGTTTCCTCCTGTCTCTCTGGCGGGTTTCGTCCGAGCGCCCGTGGCCTTGATGTCCTGCAGCAGCTCCTCGTCGAGGTCTTGCCTAACATACGCACCCAGTTCTACGGGCATCTGTGCGCATGTGACCCCGTGCGAGCGGTATGTTTCGTTGAGCTGCCGTTCACGACTCGTCCAAGTCGCCAGCAAAGTCCGCCGATGGAGCTGTACCGATGACACCACAGTGTGGTCGACCGCAGAACGAGACATCCTTGACATGACGTGAGGACGCCATGACCCCGTCAAAATCCCATACCGTCTTGGCCACCCGGGTATCAGGTCTGTCCAGTGGACCTAGGCCAGGATCGATAAGAGAGAACCCCCAAAGCCGGTGAGGGAATGGTTGAATGTCCAGAATGTCCACACAAAGGACGTCGCCTGGCATGGTTCCCTCAACGCGGACGGGTCCGGATAAGTGGTGGTCATTCTCCCAGCAAAAGTCCAGCACGTCGTCTGCGCAGTCGTTATTCGCGATGGCATTGCCTGTGAAATCGAGACACTCGATTCTGAATACCTCAGAGGGCTTGACAGTTGCCACAGGAGGATTCGCGGATGCCAGCGCGTGTGGACGTTTTTTTGTGTCAATGGTTCACCGTGAGGATCAATCGAGACCAGCGTCGGGATCCCACGCACGGAGGATGCGTCTTTTTGGTTATGTTGCGTCAATTGGGCGGGCATGGATGACTACAACACTTGGCTAAGGTACCTGTGTCGTGAGGGATCAGTACAAAAGAAACTGGATTAGCGACTGGTGGTCGCATATATTGCAGACTACCCAGGTTGAACTGTGTGGAGTCGGTGTTTCACGCAGGACGGTCAAAAGATATGCCCGCACTGACCCTGTTCTCCATTGCCAGACCATATACCATACTGGAAGCGTGCATCACAGCCATTTGATAAAACCCGGCCTTTCTCATGTAGGTGTGCGATAGGACTCGGCCCGACCGTGACAAGGAATCCAAATGCTTACTGTAACCTAACCATCAGCAGACATTACAGTAATCATATGCAGACTCGAGAGACGGCTCTTGCAATTGAGAACCGTATGATAGCAGAAGGCCACAAAGTGGTTTCCCCTACCGGTGGCTACGAAGGGGCGCAGCGAGATGTCCCTCGTGCCGACAAGCTTCTTCACTTCGGTGCCGAAGTAAGCCAAGTAGTTGTAATACTTCACCACAATAGGCAGCAACACCACCTCACCGTCACAACAACAACGTTGAATATAGTGGTGAATTCATCTGCCCGGAAAAAGTCTATAGTTCCAAGTCCGGGTGGTGGAGGTGGTCGGAGAAAATCTTTCTCGCTCGCCTGCGGGACTGCTACTTTTGCTCTGTGGCTGCTCACCAAGCAGAGGATACGAGGAAAATAGTGAGCAGGGCTTTCGCAGATGATTTAAGGCATTTTCATCAGAAACAATATCTTAAAGAGCTATTCAAAATGTCCTTTGCGGTCCGACACAGGTGTACTGTAGTTCGTACACCATGGACGTCGTCGTAGATGGACAAGGGCTAGTCTCGGGATGGTAAGGATTAGGACAAATACGAGGCTTTGTGTGGTTGACAGGCTTGATGTTGTAGAGGGAACGACGACGAAAGTGGACATCGGGTGTCGTCGCCTTCAGCTGTTGGAAGAAAGCATCTCAGGAATGTATGTAATTGACAATTCCAAAGCCGCAATTGCCCGCAGTCCGTAGCAATCACGACTGACTGATGCTGGGTATGGGTGGATACATTCATTCATGTACGAGGTATGTCCTCACAATTCTCCCGAGCTCGAAGTCCTGGTAGCCTGGGCAATGCTACACCGCCAGTCGGGGACTCCAAGTCAGCCACAGTGGAGGAGGGAAGGACTGCGCGCGCCGTATCCGTGGTGCAAAGGGAGGGTGTCTTGCTCGGAGGTATGTACGAGTACCAGACAGAAGCTTCGGGTGTGGTACCAGAAGACATGGGAAGACTGGTGGTAGCCTTGCCCAGTGGATTGATCTGGGGCGTCTGCTCCTTGAAATAGGGTATCGTACACAAGAAGGACCGTTTGATCTAGAATTTGATTACATAGAAGCGAGCGTTTACTTGATTCAGATGATGGTAGTCGACAACAAGTCCATACAACAAGGCAAGACTCAGGTAGAGTTATGGACGACATTCAAGTGCAGCGCAGGCAATCGTGGACACTGCCGTGCTTGCCTCAGCTGGACCCTACAAAGCTCACCTAATGTAAGCCACCCGGGGTCTAGGTACGTCCAGAGATGCTTTAGGGGTCCCCAGGTAGTCCGTGTGCCTACGGCCCATAATTCCGGGCAGCCACAATGGATTGTCTACCTCCGTCGGGCCACCAGGGACAAAGTAGCATCAGTAACTGCATGGCACCATGCATCCTCGGCTTCTCTCTTTAAATTCCACCGCACAAACTCGCACAACTTCCAAACTGACCATTCACATCATTCACCTCGTCCACTCGCCCAACCAACTCAGCCTCTCGATTCTTTGCCTTTGTCCGAAACTTGTCCCCCCTTCGAAAATTGACCAAAGTTCCCGGTAAGTGATCCTCCTGGTTCCTTCGCAGGGCTTCTTGGTGACTCTGGTTAACCAGCTTTTAGCGCACCCGAGATCCTCCCGCCTATTCCCTACCCAGAAGTAGCGCCTAGTCCCGCAATAAGAAAGATATTTCTCTTCGCCTCCTTCCGCGACTCTCCTCTTTTTTTTCTCTCCTCCCATCATCATTACTTTCCATTCTGTCCAGCGGTCGAGAATCTCTCGCTCTCGCCCAGATATCCCCATCATCAAGCTCCTTCAGAATTCCAGTATTTCCATCGCCCTCGGGATCGGTTGCGCCCCCGTCCTGCTCGGATTGTTTCATCCGCTGCCCCTCGACCCATTCACCGCAGAAGCAAACGCCTCAGCAGTCACAGCGCAGGCATCGGTTGTTCATGTATCGGACAGTCTTTCACACCTCCAAAACCAAAACCAAACAAAAGCTGGACATATTTCCGGCCAAAAGACATCTCTGTCGCGTCGCGAGATCCTCCTATGGTTGATACGCTGCCGGTGAACGTTTTCTTCATGTTATATTTCATTATTCAGTGGTGAAATCCACGCATGTCTGGTCAATTTGAAAGATTCGCAAACATCCACACCCACCCCAACCACCACCTGCTCGTGTCCACCTGAGATATCAAGACCTTGGTTCTTCCCATCCCACCATTTTCCTACAGACAAATCGCCAGGAAAAGAGAAAAAGAGAAAACATCATCACTCAAAATGGCTACCATCAATATCCGTCGGGATGTTACCGATCCCTTCTATCGCTACAAGATGGAGCGCTTGCAGTCCAAGATTGAAGGCAAAGGCAACGGCATCAAGTAAGCCTCAGAACATTTGTTTTCGCCCTCTTAATAACAAATACTGACTTATTCTAGAACTGTTGTTGCCAACCTTCCTAGCGTCTCGGCTTCTCTGGCCCGTCCTCCTGCCTACATCATCAAATACTTCGGCTTCGAGCTCGGTGCCCAGACCAACACCAATCCGAAAGATGATCGCTGGATAATCAATGGGGCCCATGAGGCCGGCAAATTGCAAGACTCGTTGGACGGCTTCATCTCTAGATTCGTCCTCTGCAAGTCATGCAAGAATCCCGAGACCGAGATCAATATCAAGGACGGACGCATTTTGTTGGACTGCAAAGCCTGTGGTCAACGTACTCAGGTTGACATACGCCACAAGTTGAGTGGATTCATCCTCAAGAACGAACCAAAAGGTGGAAAGAAAGGCGCAAAGAAGGAAAAGATGTCCCGCCGCGACCGAGCCAAAGCTGAGGCCCAGGAGAACGGTTCCATGAACGGTGGTAGCCCCCACGACTCCAACTCCGACAAGGGCGACATCGATGATGGAGATGTGGAGCTCGCAGCCGGCAGCGACGACGAGTTCACCAAACAGATCAATGCTGATGCCAAGGGCATTGAGGCCAACACCAACGGAGAGCCCAAGGATGAGGAATGGGCAGTCGACACTTCCGCTGAAGCTGTGGCTGCTCGTGCCAAAGAACTTCCAACCGAGTTGAAGCGATCTCTTGCCTTCGACGAGGAGGACGACGGGGAAGAAAATGGTGCCAACGCATACGATCAACTCGGATCCTGGGTTATTGACGAGGCGAAAGCCAAGGGTGCAGTGAGCAAGGTCGATGATCTTGAGATCTACAAAAAGGCCAAAGAGTTGGGGATTGAGAACAAGCACAAGACCCTCACTGTTCTCGCTCAGACAATATTCGACGAGAACATTGTCAAACAAATTCCTCAGCGATCTAGCATGCTCAAAACCATGATTGGAGACTCTGAGAAGCATATGAAGGCTTTCCTTGGCGGTACCGAGCGCTTCGTCGGCAATGACCACCCCGCCCTGATTCCTCAAGTGCCCGCTATCCTGCTGAGCTACTACCAAAACGACCTTTTGAGCGAAGAGGTCGCTAAGGCTTGGGGTCAAAAAGCCAGCAAGAAATACGTCGACATCAGCACCAGCCGCAAGGTGCGTCAAGCAGCCGAGAAGTTCTTGCAGTGGCTCGATGAGGCGGAGAGCGACGAAGAGAGCGACGAGGAGTAGGCTTTGTATCTGGTCCTCAGAGCTATGACTTTTCTAGCAATGAGTCAAGACTCCCTCCTCTCCGGCGCAATGGGCCTGTATGCTTGAAAATTGTTTTCTGGTCACTCCTTTCCCTCTTTTCGTGGTAATGGTGGTAAACAGACGTCCCCGTCAAGTCCGGTGTATGCTTGTCTTGACGAGCCGACCCCTGTTCCTAGAATCTTGCCTACAAATTGAAAACCAGTCTTCCTAGAGTTTTTTTGTCTGCTCCTTTTCTCCTTGGTAGTCCCCTTTGCTTGACGACAGTAAAGCATTCACCATCTACCCTGGAATTCCCAGCTTGTCCTTCCAATCGGGGAATATATAGGGCAACTTCTCTGGCAGGTGATCCGGTAGATGATCTCGAATGACTCGGACTAATGCCTCGTACAACAGATCGTAGCCCTGTACAGTGAGGTGCAATCCGTCGTTCAACAGCTTTCCCAACACCTCATTTCTCGCGGCGTCCTTGCTTCCTATCAAGGGGCCTGTCGAACCTTCCTGCCAGCCAGCCCTACTCATAAATATTGTCCAGAGGTCGAGGACGGGGAGGCCCATTTCTCGCCCCACCTCTCGACACGCTGCGGCATATCTCGCCGTGTGTTCTGCTGTCCTTTCGCTGGAACCTAACTGCCATTCATCTACGGGTGGTGGAGTGATGAGGAGACATTCCGTAAGGTGTAACTTGACCCCGGGGAAGCTTATTATGGCTCTGAGGGCTCGTTGATACTCGGCGAGGGGAACATGTTGAGGATGACCGGGAAGGCAGGCGTCG